CTTGACTGCCGTAAGCGCTGTAAACTCTGATATCGTCCGTAAACATTTTAACAATGAGGCTGGGATGAATCCTGAGAGCTCTTGGTAAGTCGGCAGTGTATGCCAAAAATAGTAATGGAGAAAGCGCCCCTCCTTGGGGAACTCCGCTCGTGCATGGATATCTTCCGAAAACTCATTTCCATATTTAACTGTCATATGCCTGTCTTCTAGGTAAGATTTCAAGCCAGATGAGAAGTCGCCTTTTTATGCCTAGCAACTTCAACTTTTCTATTAGTTTACTATGACAACCCTTATCAAAGGCTTTTGTCAGTCAAAATATATGATGTCAATAGATTTTTCGCTGTTGAGAGCAGTAAGATTATCGAAAAGAGAGCCGCATGAAAGTGTAGTTGTCGATGCTCCAGGGAGAAAACCTAGTTGTTGATCTAGATTAGCCCTCTCTTCAAAAGCCGCTCGCTTAGCTTTTCGCAAATGACTTTCTCCATAACCTTTCTCACTACAGGGCAAATACTGATTGGCCGGAAATGGGGAAGCTTGATAGGATCAGAAACTTTAGGGATGCGACTTACCAGTCTTTCCAAGTGACTGGTACTTCTTCAAAATACAAAGAAGCATTGAGGATAAACGTGACAGGATGTTGAAGAGCATATCAACGTTTTCGGAAAACAATCTGAGGGATACCATCATAAGTAGCAGAAGAGAGGCTTTCAATTTCTTCAACACTTTTAAGACATCAGACGGTTGGAAAATGAAATCGCTAAATGCTTCTCTATTCACCTGAATAGGGAACCAACTAGTTTGTTTGTCATCGCCTATGCATTTAGAACATTTAGTGAGAACACTTCCGAAATATTACCCGAGTGTTACCGCAATTAAGAATTGAGATTTGATGACAGAGTTGGATTTGAGATGTAGGCCGTCATCTACAATAACAACAGTGTATTTGTTTGTGCTCCTCAGCTTACTTCTGCGATACTAATACAACAAAAAAATCTTTACTTTGAAATAGGCGCCTTTCTCGATATGCTAAACATTTCCTGGGGTGATGGTGCAAATCGGCACAAACTTCCTTGTACAGTGAGTCTTTCGAAGGGTTCAACAGATCTCGAAAAAGACGGCATTTCTGCTCAACCAGATTCGTAATACGCATAGGGTAGGAGGGTGCCCTAGCCCTGCTGTGACATTTTCAAAAGTGGCTTTGGATATGGAGATATCGAGGGGCCGTGTTGCGATGGAGTGGGAAGATTCCGTGTTTTCAACGGGCTCTCTGACATTTGATGAACACTTCAAAAACGATTGGCGAAATTAGTTTATCGAGGATTAGATCGGTGTTCCCCAAGAGCAGGGTGAATATCGCTTGAGGATTCCTCAACGGCACGTCGAGGATTCTCTGCCCGATCAGAGACGATCTCTCGCGCGGACATTCACACTCGCCATGCCGTGCCGTCTGTGCTCTCCGCGCGGATGTTCACTCTCGGCACTACTCTCGCATGGTAGAGAGCTATGGTCGAGGATTTCCTCGACCGTTATTCACCCTGCCCAAGAGGCCCGCCGAGCGGCAAAGGACGAGTCGCAATCACGCTCTAGCGAAAAGGCGTGAGGTTAAACAGAGTGTACCATAAAATACGTCTCGTATCGCACAGCACG